AGACTCAGCAGACTCAGCAGACTCAGCAGACCCAACAGGCCCAGGAGACCCAACAGGCCCAGGAGACTCAGCAGACTCGGCAGTTCCAGGCCATTCAGCAGACTCAACAGACTCAACAGACGCAACAGACCCAGGCGACCCAGCAGACTCAGCAGTTCCAGGCGACCCAACAGACACAGACAGTACAAACACAACCCCAGACGATTAGCACTGTGAATCAGCAGACGCAACCTGCTAGGTCCTCTCAGGCCCAGACCGCAAGTACGGACATTGAGCAAACTCAGGTGGCTCAATCCACCCAGGCACAGACTGGTAGCAATGGAAACCAAGAAACTAGTGAAACTCAATATGATAACCCTCAAAACGCGCAAACCACCCAAACGCCGTCTGCCAGCACCGAAACCGAACAAGTCACTGCTGAGCTCTATGGCCACTTTCCTCCCCCACGGACAACTCAGTCTGGACCCAGGCCATCGACAGGCGCAGTCACAAGCCGAAGCACCAGACCCTCAACTCAAGGTACATGGACGACCCAGAGGCCATCAACAGCCTTGCCGACTACCCAAAGCACCCGGCAGCAAACGAGCCAGACTTCGAAAGCAGGGACTACTGATCTCACCACTCGAAGCACCGATAAATCGACTGCGCCTCCTATCACTCAGAGGACAAGTCAGCAATCGCCATCTGCTCCCACAACACAGAGCCATGGAAACCCCTCGACACAGGCTCCGACCACCACTACACAAGCTCACACCACCAGCATCCTGGCAGGATCATCCCCAATCGAATCGACAACTTCCCTGTTGAAGACGACTAGCAAGGTATCGGCGACGACGAAAAACAGTTGGCAGGACTGGACGTCTAAGTCTACATTGTCTACGGTCACATCATCGAGGACTACACGTGCATCTTCTACAGGCTTTTCACTATCCTCAACCGGCAAGCCAACCACAACAGTGCAGCCAGTGACGAGCAGCAGTTTGCTGATATCTTCAACAAGGCTGACTTCCCAGGAATCGACATCATCCACCGGTGTAGCGACCTCTTTCAGCAAGACTTCACGTGCGACCAGCTCCGCTGTATCCTCACACACCAATGGCCTTTCCAGCTCCAGCCAAGCACTCAGCACCCGGTCCAGCTCTCTGGGGCCTCGAAGTTCTTCCACAACGACAACAAGAACCGAGTGGCAGAACTGGACATCCTCCAAGAAATCATCTTCTTCCGCGAGCCCTGCAAAGTCTTCTGCAGGCACCACAAAGACCACAGGGCAGGATTGGACGTCGAGCAAGTACTCGTCATCCAACTTCGTGTCCTCGACGGAGCCTTCGGGGACGACCACGAAGACCCGCAGTTGGCAAGATTGGACATCGAGCATGCACTCTTCGGCCCGACCATCGGCAACGACCACACAGTCAATGCCTAGCCAGCCCCATTCATCACAGTCTTCGACAAGACCTTTGGCCACAACCACAACGACCAGATGGCAAGATTGGACATCGAGCCAGCACTCTTCATCTCGGGCCACAGAATTATCGTCTCGCTCAACCCATACGAGCTCGGGCTACTCTTTGTCTTCGAAGGCAACCTCAAGCACAGCGAGTGTTAGGTCTTCATCCATCTCGACCCAAAAACCAACAGTGTCTGTGTCTAAGACCACGGTGCCATCACAGACGGCAACGGCCGGTCCTCCGACATCAACCTCGACCAGCAAGAGCCTTACCACGCAAACTACTCGCGAGGGAACTTCTTCTGAGACTCTCTCGACCACAACCTTAGAGACAACAAGCACTTCAAACAGAGTTAGCTCAAGTACTGCTCTTTCTACAAGGGCAACAACATCCAGCAAACATCCAACGACGACCACGAAGACTAGCTGGCAGGACTGGACATCGAGCAAGCACTCAACAACTCCCTCACAATCAATCCAATCGTCTTCTACCGGCGTAACTTCATTACCAACAAGCATGCACTCGGCAAGTAGTGAGTCTAGCAGAACGACTACAGCGTCTAGAGAGCCTACCACGAGCTCGTACTTCACTGTCGAAACAACAAGCAGTGTAAGACTGACGACCTCCTCCTCTGCAGGTGTGACGTCTGTAAAGAGCAGCAGCAGCACATCCCTACAAAGTACAGCAACCGAAATTCACAGCACCTCCTCTTCATACACCGGCTCGGCGACGGCGCCCTCCACCTCAGCCACTGCCGAGACGACTGTCTCTAGTCGGACCACTCAATCGACGTCGGAGGAGATCACTACAACGTCTCGAGCAGCGTCGTCTACTATCCGGAGCACGGCATCAACTCAGCAAACAACATCCCCAGGCCATACATCCGAAACCAGCACAGTAAGGTCTCCAAGTGCTACAAGCACGACTTCCAGCATAGTGGTATCCTCGGTATCGAGTACTACTCTGGCCCAGAGCACAAGCCATCATAGCAGTACTGCTTCAACATTATCTCCCACGATTACGAGTTCAACCACCAAGCACTCTACCTCGGGTTCTATCTCCAGTTCAAGTCAAAGGAGCTCGAGCATTCCTAGCTCATCGCTAGCGACCAGCAGCCACTCTAGAGAGACATCGTCGGCTTCTACTGTGTCGACAAGCTCTACAAACCCGGTATCGAGCTCCACTACCACGAGCACAGATGCTCCAATCACGTCTTCTGTTCACTCAAGCAAAAGCAGCTCGTTGTCCGCGAGCACATCCTCTAGCCATGTGCAATCGACCGGAACGGTAACGTCCATGAAAAGCTCAACTGTCAGCGCTTCCACCAAGACCACTACATCAAGCAAGACTGCCTCAACCTTTAGCCTTGGCACTTCATCAAGCACAGAGACCTCCTTGGTGAGCTCTTCAAACAGCAAGACCGGCTCGACGACAAGTACACACCCTGGCAGTAGCAGCTTTACCCCTCCAATTTTTGTCTCAACTACAAGCTCTTCACTGACAAGCGAGAGCTCAACATCCTGGGCATCTTCGACTTCGGTTACTAGTCCTTTCAGTGGGGTGACAACGACGCTGCAGGTCTCATCTACCACATCCACGTCGAGCAAAATTTACTCGACGTCTGGCCTAAGTACTACCTCTAGTCACTCCCTGAGCCCTGGTACAAGTTCTGTCTTGTCCACGAAGTCAACCTCACGAGAGTTCACAAGTAGTTCAAGCCGCCCCTTACTCACTTCCAGCACAACCTTCGCCACGAGGACCAGGTCCACTTCGGGATCCTCGACAGTCTCGACAAAGACCTCCTCTGTGACAAGCACAGTTGCCACAAGCAAGAGCATAAGTACATCTGATGTCCGTACACCGTCGAGTAGCCTGTCATCCGGTACATCAACCTCTACGCCGGCGGAGAGCACTTCCAATACAGCCTCGTCATCTGCGAACACAACACCTGCCACAAGCACAACCCCGACGCCGGGCCTGAGCACTTCCAAAGTGACATCATCCATGACAGTAATATCTTCGGGGATCACGAGCAAATCCACTTCTATTTCATCACCATCTACTCCGAAAACGACACAGACATCCAGCAACTCCGGCTCAACAACGATCGTTTTTCACTCTTCCAGCAAGAGTTTCACACCGAGTACTTCCGAGACAGAGAAGCATTCAACAACAATCACCCCAACAACATGGACGAGTAAGACAACCATCTCGACCACCAGGCCACACTCTCGCACCAGCATAACTACGCTGTTGTCTTCCCACACCTCTGAGAGCACTGTATCGACGCCTGTAAGCTCCATTCCCACAGTCTCGACTACTCCAGTTGTCCCAACCAGTGGTTCCAAGACTACGTCGTCGGTATCTCTGACGCCCACTGTTACACCATCGACGAGTTATACAAGCAGCACTAAAACCAGCTCAACGGGAACGGTAACAACTTCGACCGGCAGCTTCACACATGGTACTTCTACGAAAGTGACGACGTCAATGTCGGAATCCAGCACATGGAGCAGTAGTATATCAAACCAGCCATCTACGTGGTCAACCAGACAACCTAGTTCAACCACTTTCAGCAGCAAAGTGAGCCAAAGTACTACGTTGAAACCATCCTCCGCCACCACCTCGAATACTCCAAAGACCAGCTCCTCGACGCCCGCGACGAGCACACCGTCTTTGTCCAGTGCTCGGACTACCACAGTGGAGGGCTCCTCCACGAAACTGTCCTCATCCTCGACCTCGACGAGCACGGGAAGCACTACAAAACCTTCGACGACTTCCAACGCGATAACTTCCTCTGCTACGTCGACTACATTGTATACTACAGGCATATCATCCAGCAAGTCACACACGACTTCTTTGAAAACAACCTCGATCAGTCTTTCCACATCAGCCAGCTCGCCCTCTCAAACGCCTTCGATCACAACCTCAGGGACCATAACCTCGTCAAACACAGGCTCAACTGAAATTACGACCACAGCAATTTCTACATCAAGCACGCCTACCACTACGGAAAGTGTCATTACGAGCAAGTCTTCCAGGTTCTCGACAACAGGAACGACCATTTCGGCATCGACCCAAATCACTACAGCGACAACAATTACTTCTAGTAAATCTGCGTCAAGCTCGGGCGTTACCAGCAGTAAATCAAATACCTCGCACAGCGGAAGGACTCAGACCAGCACTTCATCGGTCACTTTGTCTCCATCGGTTTCTGTCAGCACCACAGACAAGGCTAGTACCGCTAGCACTGGCAAATCTTCAACGTCGACGCATTCTTCAAAGTCGGAGATCACTTCAGTTGCTACTACCACAACTGTCTGGAGCGGTCATACTTCAACCACTAAGTCAAGCTCAGTTTCGATTGTCACTACCGCTTCAGCCAGTAGCCACTCAACTAGGCCGCCCACATCAACTATTGCGGTGTCCACGTCGTCTACGAAGGCCACTACACTCTCGACCTATCACTCCACTACACCTTCTATCAAGTTCACAAGCACAAGCAAGGGTAGCAAGTCGAGCAGCACGGCTATCAGTTCCACAGGTACAACGTTCACAGCATCCTCAACAGCTTCTTACACCACCAGCCCGTTAGTAACTTCATCAGAAACCACGATAGCAACTACAGCTCCCACCACAAGCCTCACAACGATGTCTACGCTCACGAGCACGACAACTCGAGCTGACACTTCGGCTTCAACATCGACTTCTACATCGACGAGCTCTTTAGCAAGTACAACCTCAAGTCCAATAAGTACCACCACTGAGTCGGTCACTTCTACAGAAACGACAAGCTCATCTATACCGATAATTACGACGTCTGTGTCGACAAGCACCACTTCGGTCTGGACAAGTGTGACAACTGAGTCAACTACTTCTGCAGAGACGACAAGCTCATCTCTGCCGATAACTACGACGTCGGCGTTGACGTCGACAAGCACCACTTCGGTTTGGACGAGTCCGACAATTGAGTCAACTACTTCTGCAGAGACGACAAGCTCATCTCTGCCGATAACTACGACGTCGACGTCGATAAGCACCACTTCGGTTTGGACAAGTCCGACAACTGAGTCGACTACTTCTGCAGAGACGACAAGTCCTTCGTCATCGACTAGTATAGTGACCGAGTCAACCACTTTGCTGTCAACGACGAGCCCTTCCTTGACGACGAGTACAACCCCTATATCTACGAGTATCACAACCGAGTCGACTATATCGGTAGCGACGACGAGCTCTTTCCCAGCAACGAGTACTACATCTACGTTGACAAGTACGACAACCGAGTCGAGCACTTCGGGGGTAACGACAAGTGCAACGACAAGTGCTCCTTCGTCGGCGGGAACGACCGCTACATCAACGACTACGACCTCTCTGGCGACGACGAGCTCTTTTCCACCAACGAGTACTACATCTACGTTAACAAGTACGACAACCGAGTCAAGCACTTCGGGGGTAACGACAAGTGCTCCTTCGTCAGCGGGAACGACCGCTACATCAACGAGTACGACATCTCTGGCGACGACAAGCTTTTTTCCACCAACGAGCACAACCTCTACGTTGATAAGTACGACCTCCGCGCCGACCAGCACAGCAACCGAGTCAACCACGTCGATATTAACGACAAGCTCTTCACCGTTCACGTCAGCGAGCACAACAACCAAGCCAGCCACTTCGCTAGTCTCCTCTTCATCCACGGAGACGACTTCTACATCGACGAGCATTTCAACTAAATCGTCTACTTCGGTTTCGACGGCAAGCTCTACACCGATCAGCACATCCTCTACATCGATTACCACAATCCAGTCGACTACTTCAGTGCCGCCAACGACTTCATCTGTGCCCATCGGTACAACCTCTACGTCGATAGGCACGCCCACTCAGACGACGACTTCTAGGTCTACAAGCGTATCCATCAAGCCAAGCACTTCAACAGTACCTACTTCGTCCCAGCAGACAACAATGTCCACAAGTACAAGCGCCCAGACGTCTAGTCTTTCTACGAGTTCTACCACCCAGTCGACAACGACTTCTGCAGGAACCACTACTAGACCCGCCACCAGCTCTACGGCTACAACTTTCCAAACTACTTTCAGGTCTTCGACTACCCCAGGTGTAATAACCAGCCAATCTGGTACAAGTATGACGGCTTCAACGACTGAGAAGACTTTTTCATCAGTGACCACTTCCAGCGGGTTGACGACGGAGGTCACGACAGCCACGACAGCGACAACGTCGTCTGTTGTAACCACGACGAAGCCGACAACTACCAGCGCCGTCGTTACTACGGTGGTGACGACCTCCAGTGTGACAAGCACTACCCTAGACACGACTAACACAAGTGGAACGACAAAGTCGACCACCACTTCTGCTTTTACCAGTTCAACTGTGACGGCGACGACGTCCAGTCAGTCCACCGTGTCAACGACCCCGGCTGGATCTACTTCAACGTCCACTGCATCTAGCGTGGTCACTACCTCTCCAACAGTACCAGTGACAAGTCAAACAACCACGCCATCGACTGGCAGGACTACCGCAACTGAATCCACCAGCAAGTCAAGCTCGAGTCAATCTACAGGCGGAACCTCGTTCACTCAGTCAACCACTAGATCTACTGCAAGCACCACCACGACTCAGTCCACCCGCAAGGCTGCCACGAGTTCGACGAGCCACCCTGTAGACACGAGCTCTACCACTCAATCTACACTAATGAGCACAACCGCCACTACTACAATTTCGGTGACGACAAGCACGGCTACGCAACCCACTAGTCAAACTACGATAACTGGGCCTAGCAGCAAGACCATGACCACGACCACGACTACCCAGTTCACTCGATCAAGCAGCACCTCGACGGCTCCGGCTACCAGCAGTGGTACAACCGTTGTCTCTACTTCAAGCAGCAGTCCGACTACAGGCTCAGCCACGAGCAGCAGTACAACCTATGTGTCAACTCTGGTCTCAACTACGAGCAGTAACCCGACTACCAGGTCAGTTACACCAAGCACAGCCAGTGTCTCAACGACAGCTAGCAGGATGACCAGCAGCACCAGCACGGCGACCACCAGCAGCACAGTGACTACAGCCTCGACAACCACCAGCAACACGGCGACCACCAGCAGCACAGTGACTACAGCCTCGGTGACCACCAGTAGCACGCCAACCAGCAGCAGCACTGTGACTACAGCCTCAACAACCACCAGTAACACGGCCACCAGCAGCGGCACGGCGACTACAGCCTCGATAACCACCAGCAGCACGGCGACCACCAGCAGCACTGTGACTACAGCCTCGACAACCACCAGCAACACGGCGACCACCAGCAATACGGCGACCACCAGCAATACGGCGACCACCAGCAATACGGCGACTAGTAGTACTACGCCGACCACCAGCAACAGTGTGACTACAGCCTCGATAGCCACTAGCAGCACGACGACCACCAGCAGCATGACTACCACCAGCAGCACGACTACCACCAGCACAGTGACTACAGCCTCGGTGACAAGCAGAACGACTATGGTCTCAACGAGCACTAGTCTGACTACTATCCCAGCAACAAGCAGCAGCACAACCATAGCTTCTACTGTGCCAACTACACCTAGCAGCTCATCCATGGTCTCAACGACAGGCAGTACAACTACCTCAGCCTCGGTGACGAGCAGCGGCACAACGATAGTCCCAACGACAAGCAGAGGTACAACACTAGCCTCAACAAGTACGAGTCAGGTTATTATCATCACTTCATCTACGTTGTCTACGTCTGGAAGTATCAGCACAGTCAGAAGTACTACTTCAGTCTCAACAGCCACAGCCACAACCACACTACCGGCAACCTCTATATCGACTACTACTACAGTCCCGACTACCAGCACAGTCTCGACCACTGTACCAACTACTGTATCGACCACTATACCGACTACTGTATCGACCATAGCCTCCACTACTATATCGACCACAGTCTCGACTACCACTACAGTCCCGACTACTGTACCGACTACTATATCGACCACAGTCCCGACTACCACTATAGTCCCGACTACTGTACCAACCACTACATCCACCACCGTATCCACCACTGTATCCATCACTGTACCGACCACTGTACCGACCACTGTACCGACCACTGTACCGACTACTGTATCGACCACAGTCCCGACGACCACCACAGTCCCGACGACCACCACAGTCCCGACGACCACCACAGTCCCGACGACCACCATAGTCTCGACTACTATACCAACTACTGTATCTACCACTGTATCAACTACTATATCGACCACTGTACCAACTACTGTGTCGACTACTGTACCAACTACTGTATCCACCACAGCCTCGACTACTATACCGACATCAGTCCCGACTACCAGCACAGTCTCGACTACAGTACCAACTACTGCATCGACCACAGTCCCGACCACCACCTCTGTCCCGACCACCACCTCTGTCCCGAC